CGGTACACGTACATGATGTATCCTACCATGTACTCTGTTCCTATGTTATCACGGTAACTCTATAATTGCAGCATCGGTAATTGTGAATTTGCATTGCCAGTAAGCTCCCAACCGACAATATTTACCCAGGTAATTAACCCTAACTCCCTACCCCCTTTTTCTAACATATAACCCGAATCCTACAAATTCCTCCAACTCCATAGTGTAAAAGTTCCAAGTAAGCTGAATCCTCCAAAATTCTCCAGAGTAAGTTACTGTGCACCAGTGCCTGAATATAACCCAATCTTGGAAACTTTTTTAGGGGGCCCAGGGAACTTTAACATGTACAACTTCTGCTCGCAATGTTAAGTCATCATCATTGCCTTTTTTTTAGTTTTTCCCCTCTTCTGGTGTGATTTTTTTTTCTTTTACTGGTTGTACTTTTTTGTTTCTTTTTCTCCTTTTCAACTAAATACCAAAACAGAAAGGTTTTCCACTTTATTTCTCTTTTTTCTTTTCTTTTTCTTTTTTGTGTGGGGATTTCTTTTCTTAATTCTCTTTTCTTAATAACTAATACCCTGAGGATTAGTTTTTTAAAATCAGAGTGACAAATTTTGCAAGTTTCCTTAAGTTTCGGTAAGGCCAAAAAAAAAGCCTTTTGTCTCTGGTAAGCGCACATCAATTTCAGGCACGCAAATCAACTTTTTTCTCTGCGAAAGCTGCAACAGAGCCCTCTACTGTCGCACTGCCTCACCATCTTTGCAGGCAGCTTTATCTTTTAATCAGGACTATAGATATTGACGAGATGTTGAACAATGATAGCAGACTATGGATACAAAGTTGTTTGTTGTCAGCTTATAATCATAATAAAGCTGGTCAAGTCCAACAAATCCATGCATGTAGGGCAATTGTCTGTAAAATCCAACCCTGGAGGAAAAAAAAAACGCATCGCCACATCAATTTCAGATCATCAGTCTGACCAGAGACAATTTTTTGGGACCTGAAGTTTAATAAAAGATGTAACTTTTCTGAAGATTATTAATTTTTCTTCATGTCTGTCATTACCTACCATGTATCTCTTTAACAGTTATTTGTAACACTGCCCTGCCCAGGGACATACATTGCTGGGTTCTCATACTGATGTGTCAATCCGAAATGGTCAGAGGTGTCTAAAGACATGTTTTAACTGCGACAGTGCCAATTTATTTCCTTCAGAGTCAAAACAAGGGCTTCTGCACTGAAAAACTTTTTATCCGCATAAAGCGCACCCCAATCTCCATTACAATAGACTTGTATCAAACTTACTTTTTCCTCAATATATAGCGAATAATTTCAATTTTGTAGCTTTTCTTATGCAACCTGAAGACATTTGCAAGGATATACATGTATTTTGAATAAAATATTTAAAATGTCTGTTTTATGAGTTTTAATTCCCTAAGAGTTATTACCATTTCATTAAACCTGAATGACTGTTTCAGACACAGATAAAAGAACGAGTCCACCAAGAAAATGAAATCTGTGATATCCTCATGTTTATTGTTCCTTCGGAAAACACTAATTTAAGTAATAAGATGAATATCAAATCAAGGTTTCTGCTACATTTCAGATTGGGGTAAAAAAGTCCTGGGGAAAAAATGAAGTCATTCCTTGCCGGATTACTAAGTGTAAGGTGACGCAGTGCAATTATTCCCATCTCGTTCTCAACGCCAAGGGCATATTTAAGAAGACTGAAAACAAATGGAGTCAACCACACGCATGACAGATAAACATTACCACAAAATGAGGTTACAAAATTATTCTTTTAACTTAAGTTTTATCTTTATTTATCCATAATCTAAGTGCTTTAAAGGCCATCGTAGTCTCAGAAACCATTTCTTGAAACCACAATAAAGACTCTGCCTCCACTTGCATATATGCAGTATCATGTATATGGTGCACACAGAAACACAGAATTTCTGAGACACTTTAGACTTACAGAAAATAAAATGGACCACAAACAAAATCTTATCATGCTTATCAATCAAGTTAAAAAGTAAGAATTAAACACCAGCAAGGATAGGATAATTCAGGAAGGTGAGCGAGCAATCTTTTTTTTGATCGGGAAATGTGATAACTAACGCGATAATAAAGTAACCCATCGTACTTGAAGTTGAAACACCGGCAACTTGCCATGTGGCAAGGTGAGCGGCGCGGGGAAGTCGGCCCATCGACATGGTTGACGGTCGGCCTGACCGTCAACTAAGGTTCAACTTCAAGGCAAGCCATTCAGCTTTTTGGAGTGACTGACTGTATGCACAGCAACATACTTTATTTCTTTAGTTGCGTCAACACTCCGAACGCAGCGAACTAACTGTAATTCTTTACTCACCAATCTTCACTACGGTTTTTTAGGGCTTTATTACGATAACGCCAACCAGACCAACATCACTCTAGGCCCTGTTCAACCATGTGATTGACAAACATCGTACGATTTCGATTTTTCTCAGTACGTTGTGTGCATGGCTAGTCAAAGGCCTTGACTTAAGTAAACACATCCGTCGTTCTTTGAAAAGGGAACCCGACAATATGTTAATTTATCACAGCGCCGCCAACGGTAACAACTGTTCACTTGTGATTGATCACGAGATGAATAACTGGAACTCCGAACGGTACAAGTTCACGGTCCTCATCAAATGATGAATTTTATTGTTAATGTAACACATGGTCACGAACGTGTGAACATTCATTTCAGTTGAATTAGTTGAATCCAAAATAATTGTCGGGTATTTTCTAGTTTTGGTGGAGATGGGATCTGAAGCTTTGGGCAGAATCCACACCTCCGGCCGGTGCAAGGGACACCTGGTTGCATCAGTGTGCACAGTGCGTGCAGCGCGGGGGATCAGCCCGGGGCGCGGGGGGGGGGGGGCGTCGGACATCGATTTGTGAAGTCAGTGCACCAAGGTACGAATGTACGATTGACACAATATCTATAGTTGATTGAATGAAATGATAAAATAAACGACTTCGCACGTATAGCTGATGTGGCTACATTCACTACTCACCAAAAATTGGCAACCATCAACCAACCTGGCTTTCCGGGGGCCCCAGTCTCCTGCAGAGAAGGGATATTAAAATAAACTGAGGTAACCAACTCTGATTAAGTTGAACAGAAAATTGACCTCGCTGTCACAATCTTTAATTATGGAGGATGAAAATTGGCCATCTGATTTTTTTATATCAGAATGGTAGAAAAGCAGATTTTATATTATGGTAACGTGCAATTTCGACTTTCTAGTTTACTGCCACCTCAAAAAGCACTATGAATATTGTTTGGTTATGCATTTTCCTGCTTTTCTGCTTCAAGAGAAGCAGATTTTTCTTTTTCTTCATTCGCTGGCGGCCGAAAAGCGGCCATCTGTTTTTTTTTTTTTTGCTTTCAAGCAAGCAGAAATTTGGATCGAACATTTTGACGACAACCGTGAATTCAACTTTTCTGCTTTTGTGATACCGGAACTAAAAGCAGATTTTACATAGGTGGCCGAAAAGTGACCATCTGCTTTTGTGCCTTCCATTGCCGTGAACGGGGTCAGGAACCTCAGGTTATGACCATTTCCTTTCTTGTGTATTGAAGACGTATAAGCCAATAATTACAGTCCACCCTGATGAACGATTCACATGTTTGCCCTGGCCCAAGCAAGCTTTTGTGTCTGTTGGATGATAGTTGTAAAACTGTATTTCGTTAGATGCTGTTTTCTCTGCCTCACGGGGACACTGATACTGCCGTATGGGATTGGTCCCTAGGTACTGCTTTCCATACGTTCACTCCCCCAAAAGGAAATGGTCGTAACCTCCTGGTTCATGACCCCCATTCACCTCCCATCTGCTTTTCCGGTATCACACAAGCAGAAAAGTTGAATTCACGGTTGTCGCCAAAATGCTTGATCCAAATTTCTGCCTGCTCGAAAGGAGAAAAGCAGATGGCCGTTTTTCGGCCGCCAGCGAATGAATAAAAAGTGAATTTGCTTTTCTTGAAGCAGAAAAGCAGAAAAATAGAAAAAAGCATAACCAAACAATGTTCGATCTGCTTTTTGAGGTGGCAGAAAAGTAGAAGTCGAAATTGCACGTTACCCTAACATATCTGCTTTTCTACTATTCTGATAGCAGAAAAGCAGGTGGCCACTCAGTTTTCGTCCTCCATACCACTTTCGTCTTCCATACTGCTGACACTTGACAGACGGGAACGTTCACTTTTGGGGCGTCGAGATGTATTTCTGCGGACATTTTAGAAATCTAATTGGTCAACTTACTAAAATTTTAAAATCATTTGAAATCTGAAGGACCCGATAACACTTTTTTTAAAACTTTGTTTGAAAGGCTTCAGGAACTTTGGTTGCCCGCTCTATCTCACGCTCTGACCTTATTAGTAGTGCGCAGTGCACCCTGCGCCTGTTCCATTGCACTGGCAATTTGAACCACTTAAATTTGCTGAAAACTGCGCTTGCGTGTGTTGACCAAATCCCAATTAGTAATGCACTCAAATTCTCCACAAAATATAGCATTTTGTGACCCAAAAACTTTGAAGATTTGTAGAAGAGACTCATTTAGGTTACCAAAACGAGTGGCAACTTGTATCTGAGTGAGATTTGGAACTTGAAGATATCACTGCCTGAAAAAGGCCTATTTTTTGAGAAGTGTAGGCATCGATTTTTCAAAATGGCGACTCGGAGGAGTGCTTAGCAACTGCTTTTTAGGGGTGACCTTTTGTGGAAAAAATCTCCTAAAAGGCAATATTTTCAAAAGTAAATGAATTGAAATTCGAAAAGAAAATGAGAAACCATAAAATGAACTTTAGTTGGATGTGCTTCTCAAACGTTTCTCACTGTTGGCTGTGGCAGTTGACTATTTTATGCATACCGGACCACCAGTAGAGCGCCACCACAAGTGTAATTTCTTTTGTTTGGAAAATTAAACACCCAAAGGAATTGAGGCTAGTCTATGCATGAAGACAGCCATCAGCCGTCGGGTGCATACCGCGCATCATTATTATCCATAGCAATAGCGCTGCTCAACGGACCGGATCGCAACGTACGGAAAGTGTGTGCGCAATGCATCGGGTGTTTAACGCTGTGATGGCCACCGAAGGCGAATTTGGGCAAATAGGGAGGGCATTACAGGCCGTCCTCCAGCGGACGGAGGCGGCATGGCAGTCCAGAAATGAGGTGAGTCGATGCATTTTCCCACTTTGTCTTGAGATTTCATCAGTCAGAGGGTCTGTTGTTGGGAATCAGCTGCTGGATTGCAGTTGGAAAATTTTGGGTCGGAGTTCGTGCATGATGGAAAAGTACTGGAGACGTGCTGCAGAAACCCTATTCGGTTGTACATGTACATTACGAGGCAACAACAAAAGCACCAGTTGAGCTGCGGTGTGGTCAGTGCTCTGTAGGACATCGTGATGTCGCAATCAACACGGCAATGCGGAAGTCGGTCGTGTCGGTTGACAACATATAACACTTGCTGTATACTGAAGTACTGGACGATAATGTGGGGAAGAAAGCAGACTAGTTGAAGAAATATCAGTCTCTAAGGAAACCTTAATCATTTTGTTCAAAGATCACCTATGGCTTAAATGAATGTGGTCTGATACTAGTGATATCAAAATTTTAAGTTGAAACCATTGGAAAGAGTTCCATGTACAGACGCTATACCCTGTGCATAAATCCCAATGACACTGGTCTGAAAAATTCGAAGTGTTTTGTAAGGAGGCCTAAATGGCTGTTTTTTTTTTCAGAAAGAGTTCCATATGTGGACGCCAGTAATTATTCCCTACAGTGACTTACTAGCCGTCAGAACCAAAACATGTCCTGACACAGTTGAGGGAAAATTAGTTTTAGGCCTAATACTGGCAGATACATTTTTTCATCCCATTGTACGGGTGTGGTTAATGAACACCATCGTAGTGGCATATGGCGAAATGTTTTAAAACTAAAAGCACACTGTAGAATGAGAGCCATATTGTTAGAATCATGGTTATGATTCTTACAGCCTTGGACCAAACTTCACTGTGAAAACAAACCTCAGACAGTGTTTGCTACTAAAAATGAAACAGTTTCTTGTCTTCACCCTCTTAGCCTCTAGTCTTCCATGTCTTTGTTTTTTGGAAGACTTGGAAGACAATCTTGATTTGGACTTTTTGTTTCTTTCCAGTGAAAGAAATGCAAGTTTAAAACCTGATAGATATGATGTAAACTCATTCAAATACACAAGTCCTTTCACATGTTTGGAAAACGGTACCATCAAAAAAAAAGAAGGCCACCTTTTCTCCTTTAAAAACCCAGATGAGAAACAAATTTATTTTCTACTTTCTGTAAAATACCTTTAATAATGTATATTATTGGAAATTTTGCTTTGTAGAAGAGCTGCAAAGGACTGTAAATGTGACATAGGGAACCGTGCCCTCCCCACTTTTGACCATTATTCAAAACTGTCCGAGTGGAACTAGTGTTAAGGCCTACATATGTTTGACATACTTATTGCTGAATTTCTGGCAAGCATTCTTTTCTCCGAAAGTATTTGGGAAAGAGGAAATTTCATGAATTTCCCCCATGCATTACAGTTCTTGCACATTTTTCTGTCCTTGTGTACTCGAACTGTGAAAGTATACATGTAAGGTTCCAAGCAACTGGCATTGTGATACTTTTTTAATAAGCAAAAAGATGAAATGTAAGTTTAAACTTGAGGAGACACCAGCTTAACGTGAAGTTCATAAAATATCTGAAAATTGACTTCATTTGTGATAACTCGAACTCCCTTCGAATTTTGGTGTGGGACTTTACTCTGAATAAGAAATGAAGGGCACATTGTTTGCACTCCAACCTCCAGCAGGCAGCAAGTCCCAAAATTGTCTTTGCTCCACTGTCTTTAATTGCAAAATAATCCTTAATTGCTGTGTGGATTTTCAAAGGATCTTGGAGAGTATGGAAGAATGACAGGGAATCACTTTTTTCATAAGGTTGTGACCATTTGGTGTACATTTCTTGGTCTTTCTTGGCAGAGAATATCCCAAGAATCGCCAAACCTGAGGCTTGTTGCCGTCACCAAGACGAAACCCAAGGAGATGGTCTTGGAGGCCTACAAACATGGCCAGAAAAACTTTGGCGAGAATTATGTACGTGTAAGACAACAACAGTACCGCACTTACAAAACGGTTGGAATAAACCAGGGTTGTTTGATAGAAGTTGACATAATTCAAAAATGTATGGCAGCATTATTTTAAACTTTTTTCATACCAGGTTTTGTTTGTACACAGACATGTATATTCATACTGTAGACTCACTGTGGTCTGTCAGTTATGAAAGAAGTCACAAGCTGGCTCCGTAAGATATGAACCTACGACTTCCTGCTTACTAGTGCAGACGTGTTAACCATTCAAATCACTATCAAACCTGAGCCAGCTTGTGAGTTTTCACAATTCTTGGAGTACACTGATGAGAATTCAGTGTGAATATACACTTTGGTGTAAGGGCAACATCTAGTGTAAAATTAACATCCCCAACACACAGCCACATCAACCCTAACCATCCTCAGTCCTTCAAAATCCTCCGGTTGGTTTTGGAGGATTGAGGGTGAATGGTAAAATTACATTGCTGATTGCAAAAGGCGTATTGTCTCAAGGTTGTGGGTTAGACTTTGTGTTGTTTACATTCAGCCTGGCAGAAATTCATGCCCACATTATATGTGAAATTGTCCATATTGCTCCAAGATACCATTCACACTCTGTTAACATAATGAGAGGATTTGAAAGGGGATTTTGGAGGATTGAGGCTGTATCCAATTTCTTCATGGGGGCAGTTGGAGGATTTTGAAGGACTGAGAGTGTGTCCTAGTCAAAAGGGCCAAGGCGGTTAGGGTTAACATCATGTGTGCTTGTTATGTTCAGACGGCATTACCCCCAGCTGTTACTGTCACATAATTTAGCCTAAATGTTGACAACCAAACAGGTGCAAGAATTGGTTGAGAAGTCCCATGATGCAGAGATTCTGAAGGCCTGCAGAGAAATCAGGTGGCACTTCATAGGCCACCTGCAGACCAATAAGGTCAAGAAGGTCCTTGGTAAGTCCAGCACTTAGCAATGCCCATTTGAGTTGTAAAAACCCCATTCTGGCTAAAATGATGCAATGAGGAAAGGACTCAGAAATGAAAACAGCTCTCCAGAAAGCATCGTTGAGAGAACAAATCGTAAAACTTCAGGTGTTCTGGGCACTGTATCTTGATTGACAGCAACCAGCATTATTTTGAGTGACCAAAGGCAGAGCAGAGTTATAGTGTCTTTTGGGACATCCAGGATATATCCGACACACCCTTTGGGTTAGGAGAATGTTGTGAAAGCATATTATGCCAACTATTTGGATGTCGCGATATCCTTTCTGGGTGCACTTTGGCGTTTAGTTGCACGTATTTACTGAAGCCCTGTTCGGAAGTATTAAAGAAATTTTGTTTACATTTGGTGGGGTTTTTTTTCAGGGTTTGGAGAAAAAAAACAGCCATTCGGCTGAAACTGACATTTTAGTTTGTGCCAGTTTGACCGAAGGAAACCAATTATTCTATTCTTCCTTCACAGAGGCACCCAACCTGTACATGGTGGAAACCGTGGATTCTGTGAAGCTGGCCAATGAACTGAACAAGACATGGGAGAAATTGGCCAAGGGTTGGAGGTTAAAGGTCATGGTGCAGATCAACACGAGCGGCGAAGAGCGTGAGCACATTTGTCCATTTGTACGCCCACCCGCAGCTTTCATTAGGAGAAACTTTTCCCTGTAGGAATGACTTCCTGGAAATATTAGTTCTATCGGAAAACTTTGACAAATCATTGAGATTTCTCGATGGAGCACATGTTGGTCAATGTACTAAGTGGCTAGCACTAAATGTACGAAGTTACTTGTTTGTTTTGGAAACTTTTGAAAATTCTACCGTAATATCATTCAGTGCTACAAGTTTGTCCCAGATTCCTGGCCCCCGGAGCCTTTGCCTGCTCTTCAATCAAATTTGCCATCCTCGAGTCAAAATTGACCATTCATAGCACTTTTTTTGTTTTGGCTGCCTGCAGAAAAGCACGGTGTCCCGCCATCACAGTGCTGCGATCTGTACGACCATGTCCGACAGAAATGTGGTGCCCTCGATGTCGTAGGCATCATGACGATAGGTGCTTTTGACCACGACCTCAGCAAGGGCCCAAATCCTGATTTTCAGGTGAGTGGAAAAGACACAAACTGTCCCAAGTTTACTTTGAACTGTAAGTGTGGTCCCTGACCCCCCACCCAATACAGGGAGATATGAAATAAGGGGCAGAGAATCAAACTAAGAATGATAATATTTCTCAGTTGCAGCAACAACCAAAAATTGCCGAATATATCCATCATACTCCTTACCAATTTTTGTATAACACAGTGGACTCATACTCAAAATACAGCAAGTTATGTCTTTTTTGGAAGAGGAGTGGTTATTTCATTTTCGTGGTTTATATTATTTGTAGCTTTCCAGCAATCCGAGCGATCTTAACTCCATTGTTACTAGAAATCCAGTTAGGTGCTGGTGGAAGGCTTATGTCATAGATCCATCTTTAACGGGTCGAGCCCTTCTTTTTCCTTCCACTTCCATCAGACCCTCATCAAGTGCCGAGAAGATATCTGCAGCAAGTTTGGTCTGCCCAAGGAGTCCATCGAGCTGAGCATGGGAATGTCTAATGACTTTGAGCACGCGGTGAGCAAGTTTATTCAGCTTTGGAATAGGCAACAAACTCAGCTCTGTCAGGACTCAAATCCGACTCGGCTCTCTCGGGGCTAAAATATGATATGTCTTTGTTTTAGTGCAGGGCCCAAATGCACGTGCACCGCTGTATGTGGATACTGATAAGTGCTGTTGCAATAAGCCTTGTGCGAGTTAACTTGGAATAAAATATGAGACACTGAGTTATCTCATTGCACATAAACATAACAACTTGAATTCCCCAGACTTAAGACACTGTTGCTATACTTAGATTCGGGGCAAGCTTTGCATAGTGACCACCATCTCTGGAATGGACTGGTTCCTTTGCGCCCTTCTTATCCATTGAGAACAATGTATTGTTGAAAGGCGTCTCTTATGTAACTGATGTAATTTAAATGAATTTAGTGTACCAGATTTCATTCAACTGTAACTCTCAAAAGGTTAACTGTACTGCACACGAAATCATTTGTGAATGTCTTTTTGCGGGTGAATAAGTGACATCTTACAGAATTGTTGGTGGCTTGGGATTCCATATTTTAGGAACAAGAGACTGTATTTCATGCAAGTCCAATTTCATTTTAATGAGAAAGTACAGCAGCTTGGAAGAATTATTTGTCGACTCACATTCATAATTTGAACGTTCCCTCCTTGCCCGCGTAGATTGAAGTTGGGAGTACCAACATCAGAGTGGGCAGCACCATATTCGGAGCTCGGAACTACAAACCCAAGGTGGAGACGGCCCAACAAAATCCTGCAGAGAAGCCGTCCGAAACGCAGATGCCGGACACACAACTGGGACACAGCAGTCACCAAGATCACGTCACTGGTGTGGCCAACCTTGCCCTTTAATGGCAAAAGAATGGAGACATTTGGAGAAGAAAAAATGTTTTCTTTCCCAAGATTCCATCTGAAGTTGGTACTACGCATCAAGACGGCAGTGGGGTTTTTTTGAGCGCTCTTACCATATATGGGGATGCAAATGGACACTGCCATCCCCTTGGATTTGTAAGGCTCATCATCAAGAATTACCACTTTCTCTTTGCCACAAACTACTCTCTGTTTGAGAGGGGGGGTTTGCCAAGCAACAGAGCCGTATTTGGAGATGTTAACAAGCACACTGGCTCTGGGAGTGGACAAAAGTCTTCCACGTGCCAAGTCTTCAAATACTCAACTCTGAATAAAATGTAAAAGGCACCCAAGGTGTCGATATCTTCTTATGAGCACAAAGAGATGCAATCTGTTCAGCTCTCCTGAGCTGGCAAGTGGTATGAGCAGGTAACATGCTCCCTGTGCTAATGGAGTGTCGTAGAGGTAATGGTATGTAACATAAGGAAATTTGTGTCTTGAAGGAAGGCTATTGGCAGAAATGTCTGAGTCCTTAATGAGAGACTCTTTTAAGAGTGAGTTCAAAACCCTTCAGAAACCCAGACTGTACAAAAATAAAAGCCAAATGTTTCCTTTATGACGCCAAGCAAGTTTCTTGCCTCACTTTTCAGTCGGTTGCTATTCAGTTTGTTAAACGAGATCAATACCAACATACACCTGTATTCAAAGTAAATTTTACAAATTTACTTGTGGTCCATCAGTAATGTTTCGACATTTTGGGGGGTCATTTAGGCCAGTATTTAATTTTATTTAGCAGATAATGAACAGTATGAAAATCAGGTGGGTTGGAGAGCGAAATGAAATTTCAGGGTCAGAGATTGAAAGCAAAAATTATGGTGTATACAATACTTGTACCCTGGTACTTCTAGAATGAGACAATGACAGGTGGTGCTCATTGCTTTCTGTTTACAGTTCACTTGAAATACTCGGGAGACAAAATTTTCAAATTGATGTTAAGGCATTCATACGTCAGCAAATTGAAAAAAACATGCTGGCCTTATCTTTGTCAGAGGGGTGCTCTGAAACACAAACCAAAGAGGTAACTGGCAAAGAGGCTTGAATTTGAGTGGACATTTAATTGGTACCAAATTGGATTGCCATTCGAAGTTTCTCTCTTCAATTGTGAACCAAATGCCTCAGAGTTTCCAACCCATTCTGGAAGTAGCATTACAACTAGACCATTGGACATTTTCTATCATTTTCATGTTCAGGGAAATTGTATCAGACAGTAAACCGTTAATTCGCGAACATTTCTTCGGCAAGTCCTGTTTCTCCATCTAGTAATACTAACATTGTAGGCTAAATACATGTAGACGCTAATATTATATTGAAGTAAATGAAGACATTTCTGCACTCGACAGCTCATGCTACCTGGATGCGAGGCAGATGAAAAGCTGATCTGATGAAAAGCGCTCTTTGTAGATTTTCTGCAAATGCTGGAGCCCAAGTTTCCCAAATTTGCCCAACTCTAGCTCAGCCCAATTATGGTAGCATTTTGAACTATTCGGGCAAGCGTGGCCCAGCCTGTTACTTCCCTCACACATAAGGCTCGACATCTTCATTATTTGTGTGCAAAGATTCTGTCGTCAACCGTCTGCATGGCCGAGTATTTTGGACGCTGCAAAAATGCTCTTTGACCATGTGACCTGAGCCAAGATGATGTATTCATGTTTCTGGCATGCTTTGACACTGTATATATACCAGTTTTCGTTGCCGTGACAGACACGGGTTTTTTTTAGGATTAGCTGATTTTTCTCAATTTCTCCAAGCTTCACACCTGCCAGTACAATAATAACAGTACCAAGGTCTTGTGCAATTAAAAATTTTCTTTTTTTAATTTTTTTGAGATGCTCAGTTGTATGTGTCTGGAAAGAGATGAAGAGATTTCATTGGTTACGTCCAAAATATTGAGCTGAAAGCTCAACAAGGCCTTTTGTGTTTATCGGAATGAGATTTGAATTGAGGGGACAAATTAAAGGAACTGGTCCATTTGACGCCAGAAACAATTTAAAAACACTTTAATCTTCATACGCACCGTAAATTTTATCAGATATTGTACCTGAATGAAGGGAAACTAAGTTTAAGCAATGACACAAAATTCATTTGTGGTGTGAGCTAAAACGTGTTTTCCAAAAGATCAAAGGTACAGCTCCTACCTTTTCTTTTGCTGAAAATTAACCTTTTTTTTATTTGTTTACAGTTGTAAATAAACTTTCAAGTGTTAAACATTTGTAAAAAAAATAACTATGTATATGCATATTAATTATAAAAGAATGGTTAATAAAAGGTATGTTTCAACATAACAATGAATTACACAAAAATCTTGCTGTTTGTGTCCTGATGTTGGAGTTGTGTAGAAGTGAGCTGCATTATTTCAAGATGTATTTTGCGTCAGGGAGATGTTAATTTGTAACAGGTTTTGCCCTTACCCAATGTATGTATTAATAAACACTGTATACTCGGGTGGGACTCAAACCCCCGACCTCCTGCTTACTAGTGCAGACGTCTTGTAATCACTCGACCACCGAGCTTGCCGTGGTCGGCTGGCCGGTCCGAGTCGGGTGTAGCAGCGGGTCCTGCGAACTATTTCAACATGTATTTCAAGGAGGAGGTCGTGGGTTCGAGTCCTGCCCGAGTAAGCTTGTGAATTTTTTCGGAAGCTCTCGGACAAGCACTGAGCATATGCTGTTTATTAATACATACGTTGGGTAAGGGCAAAACCTGTTATAAAATGAGCTGCATTAATTGAGAACTTTTTAGAGTGGGGTAGAAGTTGATAGGAGGTTCTGAAACATTTAGGGGATGACCGGGGGGGGGCAATAGTCCCTCACCGAAGAGTTCTTCTTTTCTAAGTATGAGAAAGGCGATTTTGGAGGACTACTCCCATTCTTAAATGCAGAACGTGAGTAATTGGGCCAAAAATTTAACCTCTCTCTACGGGGAAGCCATAGAATATAACAGATCTTCCCTACTCTACCCCCCAGAAAAATATTTGGCCTCTTGAAGAATTGAATTTGGTACTGGATCTACCCTTGGTTGGGGGAGGGACATAAACGTGGTACATCTGGTGGTGTTAATACGAGAGTTTGTATACCTATGTAGATGTACATGTTCACATTTCATTCTTTCAGTTCCAGCAGTGCCTCCTGGTGTAACATTAGAAGTAGAAACCTCCATTCACTTTATTGGCGTGGCATTCACAAAAAGAACCATACAGTGAATAACTGAACAATTGACTGACAAACGTAGTTACAGAGCCGAATAATTCCCCAAATGCATTTTTATTGTCTCTTCCCACCCCTTTTAAAGGTACAATAACTGTACATTAAAAAAAATCTTGTCACAAAAAAAAATGTTAAATACCAGACAACGGATGTATCAGACAGAATACAGTTTTCACCGAAAACGTATCACAGACTGGCTGACAATTAAGAAATAGTTTACAGAATTTAACACTGAACAGAAAATGAATCGAATGGTCGGATCGTTCTTTATCAAATTAATCATTATCACTGGCTGAACAGAAATTGTTTGAAGAAATCATAAACATGATCAAAAAAAAAAAAAAAAAAAAGCATTACTTACTAACAGGTGCAAATGGCATGTGCATTAACCCCATGGCAACATGTCTTTTTCAAGTTGTAAGCGTGAGAGACTTTTTTGCCATAATGTTTACCGCACATCTTCCAAAGAGCTCTCCTATACAGACTTTAACCAAAAAACCTTTAACTTTACAGATGAAATTAATTTTGCAATAGAAAATAGGCCACAATCAAGCATGGCACACGAGTCTTTCATTCAACTCATGACATGTCGCGGGTCATATGTGGATCTCTCATTGGGCAGAGGGCACATGATTGACACTTTGCGTCCTTGAAAATAGTACGTGTACCAAAATCTACGAGCACCACCGGTATTCTTGGCCACAGGGCTTAACTTGTACACACTGTGCTTGACTGCCTGTGCCAGAGTGGCTTTCATCACAAACACTGTTACCTGTTGATGCACATGCTATGTAGGAAGATAGCCATCGAATGGACGACCGTGACGAGCCCCTGGTAAGGGTTGCTTGTTTTCAAATGTGTGCCTTGTCCTAACCATTTCACAACTCCTTAATGGTTTCGGAGCAGTCAGTTTGCTAGCTTTTATGCAGAAACATTTTATGTGTACATCACTTGCAGCAGTGAATACTCTGTATCCACCCCGAGCTGAAGTGCACCCCCTATCGGCGTAAGACAGACAGGTGGTTACAAGTGGGTTGTTACACACATTCTGCCTGTACGCAAAGACCATACAAGCTGGAATAAATTAGTTACGCGTACTCAGCGTGCTAGGCATCAAACGCGCATATACTTGCGCGCCTTCTGGCATGCCTATCGGGTGAATACCACAAAAAGCCCTCTTTTGTTGCGCTCGGAGCGGATAGACCTTTATCAAGATGCTTCCATGTTTGTCTTGATCCCTGTAAACCCATTGGTAATAGTAATACAACTTCACATACTGATAAAAGGGATCAGACTATTGTTCCTTCCAGCTTCAGTTGTTACGCTGCTTTGAATGAATGGCAGAAAAGTAAGATGGCTGCCCCATGATAGAGGTCTACGGTAGAGTTACAAAAAGATCTCTCTTGTCGACTGAATGGAGTTACTCCCTCTGTGTGTGCTGTTACACTCTAGGAAATGGAAAACTCTTCAAAAAGTTCTTTATGCTACGCAACACGACCAAAATGGGCCCAAAACAATTTTCCAAAAAAGTATTAATAGTTCTGCCTATTGCCGGGTTTAAACTTCTTGGCTAGGAATGGAAATAACCCATGCCTCTATGGCAAATACATGACGCTGCTACTAGGGCCAAGGTCATTCATTGACAACTTGTTGACCAGCGGTCGATTTTGCTTGGTAACCTATGCATGCAATATATCCTGGGTACCAGTTGAAATCGACCTGGGGTTCACAAATGGTCGCTGTTTGAACTTGGCCCCAGTGGCTTCAATGGGCACATGTATTTCCTGCCGCTGCAAAGTAATTTAGTCTCTATGGTTTAATTCTATTTGGGAAAAACATTGGAAATATATTTGCAACGGACTGCTCTATTCATACTCAAAGAGCACCATACTACTTAACTTTTACACCCCCCTCCCCCAAAAACTTATAACAGCGATGCTCCAAATGAAGTGACCTCAAAATACAACGTAAGAACACAGAACTGACATTTTTTTAGCAGTACAAGTTCAAGCTGGATGCTTGTAAGCACTGCACAGCAACCTTCATCGCGGCTTTAATAGTTGGCATATAAAAATCTTCATGTAAATTGCAGAGACTTAAAGCTCTCAATTATTCGACCCCCACACACACACCAATGTGATTTGTACCTCCATGAACACAGTACTCCAACAACAATCAAGTTCCATCAGCAACCATTTGTCAAGCACTGGTTAATTCAGCTTGGTATCCATGGTATATTTCATGCACAGGCTACCAGGCAAAGTCTAGCAGTGTTTGACAAAATGGTCGTTGACTGAATAGGGGCCCAGGTACTTGGGTACTAAACTGTAAGTGCTTTTAAATGTTCTGCTCTTCAAGTACTAGACATCGAGTACAGAAGTCCATCTCAAATTCACAAAACCCTGACCACGTCTCAGTTCTCCGACTCGACATGTGCTGTTCTGATGCATTTCATAACAAAACATGGTGTTGCAAATCTGAACAGAGGGCTAACATCTCAGCAACTAATGTCGACTTTGATCTGCAGAGTAGGCCTTAATCTATTCTACACATGTGGATGCATTCTGTTTGAACTTGACAGGACTGAAAGTCAGCATTATTTTTATGGATTTTCCCCTTGGCTCCAATGAGACGATAAATTAATGTAGGGATAAGTTCAGCTGACGACCTGGACAACCATTCTAGTTCTCTTTCTTCTCTTCGGCCGTCTCGTCGGTGCCGCTGCTGCTATCGCTGCTGCCATCGCTGCTGCTACCACTGCCACCGCTCTGATCTCTTTCAGATGCCATCTTGGGTAAAAAAGAAAAAAACAAATTTACCTCATCTTACCGCTATTATTCTGACACCTTGTGGTGTTCAAATTCCACGCTATCCACTTTTGGACAGGTTGAGTTTTACTCAACTTTATTAAATCTTAATTCTCTGATGCCAGCAAAAACCACGGTGGTGTGACCCAAAATCCCTACTTGTGATACAAGAACTACTGCTTGGTAAAGGTCTTAAGAAAAGAAATTTAGTTTCTGATGAGTTACGTTGGAAAACAATTAATAGTCATCTTAACAATAATTCATGGCAAGTCAAAGGTAATGAAGTAAAAAAAAACATTCTTTTTAGGCCCTTCCCCCCCCCAAAGTCTCCAGTTTCTGGTCAGGTGCTGGTTCCAAAAGTGGTGCGGTGACAAAGGTATTTTTTTCCCGTAGAAATGATATGTGTACGTACTGCCACTACCAACACCAAAATAGAAGACTGGGCCCCTCACTATTTACTGTTTAAAAACATTTTCAGCTTGTATATGTACACAGGACATAAGACCACCCTGTTTGTCCGGTTCCCAGATGAAAATGTATAACACTGAAATGACGGCACCTGAAAAAGCGTGCTCATCTGAATGTATGGAGGCTTAGATGACTCCTTCAGTGTACATATTACTCAACCTTATCACATCAAAAACATTAAAATTACACAGAGGCAGGATTCCAGTCGATCCAGCAAGTTGGCAGCTTGTGATCAGTAAAACTTCTATGCTTGCAAGATGTACTGTCTCATATCTCACACTCATTATGGCAAAAATGGATGTTCATTATCCCACTCATTTCTCAGCTATCCTTGAACCAGAAATTGGACTGTTTTTTTAGGCCCACCGATGCCGATTTTCTCCCCCCGTGAATGTAACCCACACTGACAAGACAGCAAGCTCCTTACCTTCTTGTAAGCCATCTCAAAGAGCTTGAGCGAGGACTGCTGCAAGGCGGAGGCTGCCTGCCGAATACTCTCTGACGTCTCCGTGTCCTTCTTGGCCAGGACTTCCCTCACCTTGGCAATCTCGGCTTTCAGTTTCTCGCACTGTTGGGGGGGGGGGACAATGGGGCACCAGGTCACTACATTAACCCTTTCACAATAAAGTGCTTGCATGTCGGTGTGAGACTAAATCTTGACAATGAGCCATCACCATATCGCCTGAAACCATTTGAGCAGTCCATGGAGTGCCGACGTGAATGCATCACGTGCACAGATGTGTGTGTAAATGGCATCAGCGCCACAAGAACCAGCGTGCGAACTACCATTCGTTCATGGTTCAAAATGCTGTCACACTTTTGTATTCTGTAGCCGTTTAGATTCACAAGTTAAAAAAATACTTGGTAAAACAAAGTAGAACAGGCGTTACAGGGTTAGAAATGGACATTATGCACAATTTTGAAAGTTTTCAACTTGTTTTAGGGGTACAGGGCAATGCTGTGAGACACAAGAATTTTTGCCTGGTATTCTAAGATTACTTACTTCGTCTGCTGGCAGCTGGTCTTTGAATTCTTCCATCTTGCTCTCTGTGTCATGTACGATATTCTCGGCTTGATTGATGGCCTCGACAGTTTCCTGTGTGAGGGAACAAAATAATTACTTTCAACCTTTATACGCTGTAACATCCAACGTGTGGAGGTACTAGCTACCTCAAAAAGCCACTGGTGAGCAGGACCCACATGCTGCATTATTTGTAATTTTGCTTTCATGGTCCAAGAAAAACTGACAGAAATTAGCTCTGCCTTGCCAAATCCTAGAGAGTCCTCTAAAACCTCCCGGACTGATGTCAAAGGGTTAGGTCAGGTCTTTCAATCACTTTGCAAAGAAACTCTCACGGTGCTTCCTCTTTGTAATACAGAAGCAGGCAGCTAAACCCCAGAGTGGACTGACTGACATGGCCAGGGCTGTCCAGTCCTGGATCCATGAATTCCAGCCACACCAGGTTCAGATTTTGTTGGAATCTGATGGGTCAGGGTCAATAAGATCACCACTTTAAGTTTTCAGATACTGATGTCTGTCTCACAGGAAATTTAGAGAATCGTCAACTTGCCTTCTTCTTGCGATCCTCCTCGGCATACCTCTCAGCATTCTGCACCATGTTCTCAATTTCATCTTTGCTAAGACCACCAGATGACTGGATGACAACTACGATAAAATTAGCAGCACAAAGAACATTAGCAGGGTATCTATTGGTCGGGGTGCCTGGTAATCCATTGGACACCCTACAGACTATTTCGGACGCTACTGCCATGCAAACCTACGCACTATTAATAGCACAGAACAGGAACTTGGACTTCCCCATCTCCACTTCATGGTAAATCGGAACACGCAATCTTCAAATGAGGTCCTAAGCCCTGAAGGGCACACATGGTTTAAGCTTTCCACTTACGCAATCACACTGTAACTAAATGTGTGTCACTTGGTAGATACATAAAACAAGGTCAATCTTGAGGAAACCAGGGGCCAATACACATATCACCTCTTGATGATATCAAATTAATAAGTCAACTCAAAGGTCAAATACCGACTTCCCATTAGTGCATGCATCCAAGTTCCAATGTAGACGTCTGCTTGATTAAAATCCCATCTTTCTGTTTTTCGTTATAAATATGCATAAACTGCACAAACAATTATCAACACACTCACTTTGTTGTTCTTTTCCCGTTCCCTTGTCCCGGGCTGAAACGTTGACAATGCCATTTGCGTCGATGTCAAAGGTCACCTCGATCTGGGGCACCCCGCGCGGTGCAGGGGGTATTCCAACCTGTCAACAAACAAAAGGCAAAAAAAACCGCACACAATGAAGTGATACTTGGCACTAGTTAGTTTACTGGTATACTATCTTAAATGTCTGAAATTGCTGAGGTTTTACTTACGAGTTGAAACTGTCCCAGAACTTTGTTGTCGACGGCCATTTCACGTTCTCCCTGGCACACCTTAATCTCGACCTGTGTCTGACCGTCAGCTGCTGTGGAGAACACCTGAGGGCAGCAGAGAGGGTCAAGAGTTAGATGTCAAGGACAACAGTCACGGAGAAGAAAGGTGAAACTTGAAATATTTTTACTTGTAGCTCAATGTGAATAAGTCCAATTTCTGTCTTATTTCTGGATCAACTCAGCAATCTTTGACATTGGTAAGTCTTGTGAGTCAATCACTTTGTTAACCTTTGTTGCGATTCACCCTCTACTTGCGCAATCTGTTCTCATGCTCAGATACGGTCTTTCCACACTCTCCATAGTTACGAAGAAAATGCGGTTGACGAAAAATATAAGCATCACTGCATGAGCAATATTTGGAATAATTTTCAAACTTCTAGTATCCTAAAGTTACACTGACGGACTTGGTAAATTAGCAGCAGAATATGTTGGCCAAATTTGAAGACAATAAAACTTCCCGAGTACAAACTCTGGATATGAAAATACCCTGGGATCCCAAATGCTTCTTAAAATGACGTAATCCGCTACCCAAAATGCATGCCAGACTCAATGTAAGCCCTTCTCCCGCACCAACCTGATGCGCGCAACTTTGATTCTAGAACGTTTGTATTTTCAACAAGCCATTTCAGTCACGAGAACCCTTCTTGAACCCCCAAGGACAGATCTCTGTGGAAGAGCCCTACGGCAGTCTTGTATTAAAGCCATATCCATATCAGCTGGATGTGGCTTGGAATTACACACGACTCTACGGGAACTGGCTGTGGCAACTACCACAGACTTGTGCGTAATTTGTAGCTCCAGCCAAGTAAATCGGACACACAGCCTTACTTCAAAGGCTTCTGAATACTGTGTAACAGTGGCCCAGTTCTGTCTTTTGTAACCTTGTTTAATTTTGCTAAACCCCTGACGGATTTCAAAGGACTCAAGAGGGTTGAGTTAAAATGAATCACAGTACAATTTGGTTGCAGATGGCTTAAATAAAAAAACCAAACGTAATCAGACTTTGGAAGTTGCATCGTAAATGTGCTATAATTTTCGTAAGTAACAGCTTTTGAGAATGTGTTTCTCTGACAACGTCAGCCTAATTTATGACGATGGGTTTGGGTGATGCAACTTGTGTTTCTTACCTGACTCTTTTTGGTGGGGATGGTGGTATTGCGGTTGATGAGTTTGGTGAAGACCCCACCAAGGGTCTCGATGCCAAGGGACAGCGGGGTGACGTCCAGCAGGAGAACGTCCGTCACGTCGCCGGCGAGCACGCCTCCCTGGATGGCTGCCCCCATGGCAACCGCCTCGTCCGGGTTGACCGACTTGCTGGGCGTGCGGCCAAAGACGTCCTTGACGGTGTCTTGGACCTGTTCCGGGGGCAGAGAAGTAGGAAAGTCGTTGTTTTTACTTCAAATCTACGACTTGTTTTTTCTTCTTGTTCTGGTATACAAAAGTCATGGAAGGACTAGAAACAAGTCCAAGTATGAGAACAGCCTCAATATGGCTGCGTCTGAGTCAACTGGCTACGGCTGGCAATTACATGGATGCCTATGAAAGCCCCTGGGAAGCGGTTCCAGCCATTAAGTCCAAATTTCATGTTACACTGGCTCGCCAGCAAAAGCTCACCTTGGGCATGCGGGTCATTCCTCCCACCAGCAGGACCTCCTTGATGTCTGAGCTAGCCACCTCGGCATCTTGGATGGCCTTCTTGCAGGGACCGATGGTCCTCTTGATCAAGCTTTCTACGATGGACTCAAACTTGGCCCGCGTCAGCTTCATGTTCATGTGCTTGGGGCCCGAGGCATCCATGGTCAGGTAGGGCAAGTTGATATCCGTCTAGGAACGATTAGGAACAGAGGACAAGATAATAATACAGCACCGTCCCAGAGGATGCAATTACAATCAAGCAATGGACATTTCTGCTCATTTATCACATAAGCCTAATCAATACGGGTTGTGCTTTGTGAGACCGTGTTAACAGGTGGATACAAAATCAAGAATCTTATGGAGAACAAACCTGCATTTTGAGCGTGAGGGTCTAAAAACAATGATTCATTTACACTAGCGTAAAAATTTAAAAGAGCAAGATAGGAACTTGACACTCTGCAGTGGCTGATCAAAACCTGACCGAAGAAAACACACCACTGACCGGTGCTCATATATTTTGCCCACGTGGTTAAATCACTACTTAAAAATGCTGTGATCTCCAGATATAAAAAGTTGACGATGTTATAGTGAATAAACGTGACAGAGTAAGTTTTGAACAGGAAATAGCAAACCCATAAGCTAACCCAAGAAGAGATGTCTTCAATGGGAACATCCACACAGAGTTTACAATTGAAAAAAAAAAAACAACGCTTTTTTCCTTATTTCATTTACCTGCAGGGAGGACGACAGTTCAATCTTGGCTTTCTCGGCTGCCTCTCGGAGTCGCTGCAATGCCATGTTGTCCTTTGTCAGATCAATACCTTGCTGTTGGGATTACAGAGAGGGGATGTTGCAAGAGACTGATTAGAATAAGATATATCTTTTCAAAGATGTGATGTCCCCAATCTGGGCATGAATCCTTGTGGCTGGAAATGTGTGCTAAACAAAAATACTATCCTAGAAACTGCTGCTGTGCACAATGTCTTTTTATTCTGCATAAAATTCAAAAAGCCGGAGGGGTCCTTATCTCTTGCCTTCCATAATCTCTAAATTCAAAAAATTCTAACTAAAGCAGTATCGAGGAAAGGGTTGGGAGTGGGAGGCGGTTAACGAACCCATCATCAATTTACTTGCATTGACCAAAATAGCACTGGATTTTTCAACAGGCCATAAGTTTCTACTTATGGAGAGACTTTGTCCCAGAGGTTGGGCCAACGGTAACAAACTGTAACTAAACTGTAATGGACTAACATCTTTCTTGAACTCTTGAACCAGGTACTTCAGGAGTTCGTTGTCAAAGTCTTCGCCCCCCAGGAATGTGTCGCCATTGGTGGACTTGACTTCAAACACGCCCTTCTGGATTTCCAGGACTGAAATGTCGAAGGTGCCACCACCCAGATCGTAGACAGCAATGCTGGGAAGGAAATACCAAAGAATGTCAAGCTATGGATGTAACACAAATGCAGAATTCTTCCTTGGAATTTGCCAACATGTTCAGAAACACCTATCTTAAGTTGAAAAGGCATTCTTAACAAACGTACCCATTTCCGTTTCGCTCTGAAACACAGAATACCCAGAAGAGGCATTTAAGCCAATGAAAGAAAGTTGAAGTTTGAAAGTAGCTTTGGGAAAAAAAGGCTACAAGAATCTGTTTTGAGGGAAAACCCTGGATACAGGTTATACAAAAAAACTAATTCGCCAAACAAACTGAGTTGGATTCCAACCTGAATCACAGAGATAAAAGCAAGAGAAGAACATTGCACTGATGTGACACCCCAAAGTACAAGAAGGAAAACAAAAGTAGAAGCCTCCCACAAATAAACTGTCTTACAAACAAGCCAACTTGCTAAGTACAAAACTTACATTTTATCTTCAGTCTTGTCCATCCCATAAGCCAGTGCAGCAGCAGTTGGTTCATTGATTACCCTAAGAACATTGAGTCCGGCAATCTGTCCAGCATCTTTTGTGGCCTAAGAAGCCAGAAAATTAGGTCCACAAAAATGATAAACCAGTTGTCTTAAAGCATCTCAAAGTTCCCTTCGATATCAGATAAAGTAACTCGTAAACCAAATATTACTTTTAGAAATATCAACTTATACCAAAAAAGTGTACTTATCACAGATGTTTACTTCCACCATAATGCTGTGACATGATAAAAAGAATATTAAATTCTACTTTCACATTTCCAAATCCTAAATCCTCAAAATTTTCCATGCAGCAGTAAACAACGGCACAATCTCCGTATGGATTATAATGATCCATAGAGTGGGGAAAGTTGGCTAGGATTTACCTAGCATCTTCCCAATCACCTCACAGGTGGATTTTGAAGAATCGAGGTACATATAAAATTAATCCTATTCTTTCTTGAAAGGCCCAATTTCGTATAACGTGTCATATTGATAACCAGCTTTAGAAAAACAGATAGTGAAAGGATGCATTTAACATGTTTTTATGCACCTGTCTTTGTGAGTCATTGAAATAAGCGGGCACCGTGATGACTGCATTTTTCGCCGGCGTCCCGAGGTAGTTCTCTGCCGTTTCTTTCATCTTAATCAGCACGAAAGCGCCGATCTGACTCGGTGAGTACATTTTGCCGTGAGCCTTGACCCAAGCGTCGCCGTTACTGGCCTTCACAATGTCAAAGGAAACTGTCTTACTGGAAGGTGTAGGGAATAAAAACAGACAAGGCAGTTGAGACTTGGTGGATGAATTTGTACATCACAAGGCTAAACAGTGTGTCAGTGTGCTTCCAACAATACATAAACCCTACTTAAGCATGAAGTCAATTTTTTTCCCCCCAGGCAATTTGCCAAATGCAACCCAATTAACACGGCTGAAATGAGAGGCTAAGTGACCACACCAAAACGCACAACAAATGCAAGAGTGGATTCTGTAGAATTATGCAGTGTGTTCATCAATCACCAAATTTGGTACAGAGCATTTGCATAGTGAACCCTGCCAATACGGGCGTTTCACAATAGTGCGCCACCAAGAGTTTGGATCCCGTTGGCCTATCACAATGCGCAAACTGTGTCGACTCTTTCCGAACGTGCAGTGCCAGTCGACACGTCCGTATGTGTCAACCCATTCAAATGCGCACTGTGTGCACTGACCACCACGCTGCAAACTCTTGGCATCACACTGTTTCGAATTGCCCGTACTGTTTACACGGCGAAATCTGATGACATGCTACACCTAACCGCTATAGCTTTTATCAGGCATATGAACAAGTGTACACAAAATTTTTCTAAACATCCTTTTCATTAATTTTAATCAAACCATGCTCAACCCACCAGAACATGCTCAGACACAACAATTCTGGTGGATTAACCCTAACCCTTCAAGGGAACTTGGCTAGAAACCCTGCTAGACACATCAGTCAGCATCATTTGTTAAATTAGCTTGCCTGCCCAGTGTAACAAGATCCAACAGGTCAACTCTCCCCAAAGCCAAACAGCCTAGGAGTCTGTGGTTGCCAGTCACCAGAAGATCCAACAGTGGCACTATTCAATGTGACTAGCTCCAACTGTCTCAACATGACCAGCTTGTTCGGCTGCTGTTGAGTGCCAAGTGCATCAAAGTGCATTAGACTTTTTCACCTGATGCACTGTGCTGCACCTATCAGGGTTAGGGTTAAGCAAACAAGAAGCAAAGACCTCTTACGCATTTGTATTAAAAACAGGCATTTTAGTCCACAGCTACGCTATGGCTATGCACAATGCCATGCTAATAGTAAAAGCCACAGCTGCAGATGCAAATACCCAATTCAGGTGTGGGCTTCCAAAGGGATATGAGACTCACTGGTCTGTAGAAAATACCTTGTTCTCCCTCGCTCTACTTACATATCCTTCTGTGTTTCGGGATCGTCAAATCTCCTGCCGATCAGACGTTTCGTGGCGTAAAATGTATTCTTGGAATTTGTGACGGCCTGACGTTTGGCGGGCATGCCCACCAGTCTCTCGCCTTCCGCGGTGAATGCGACGACTGACGGGGTTGTTCTGGCGCCCTCGGCATTTTCAAGAACCTTGGCCGCTTTGCCTTCCATGACGGCCACGCAGGAATTTGTCGTTCCAAGATCGATGCCTATGACGTTGCCTTTGACTCCCTCCGAGGCATAGAACCGCCTCGGCTGTGCGTTGTCTGTGTTTACAATACTCCATACTCCCTGCAAAAAGGCCAAATTGGTAAATATTTTGAGAAGAGAGAAGGCTCACTACATTAGCTTACACAGACTTTATTTCCATGATCAAGATTCAAGGGAAAAAGGAAAAGGAAAAAGACGTGACAAATAATTACTGTCAACAGAGGCAAAGATAATTTACATAACTTAGCTTAAATCTGCAGGTTCAACATGCTGTCTGGCATTACCGATTGATCTACTTGATCTACTGATCACATTGCACGACCTGTTAGTGCCAGTCAAAATCTCAGATTTCAAATCCCTTCCTTAAAATAATCTAGAAAACCCACTTGTGGTTGGCTGATGGCAGAAAGATCAATCGGTAATACTACAAGATTGACCGATCAATTGCTCACAAAAGTGCACAAATTGACTGATTGCGACATGCAAACATGGCCAAATTTATTACCATGATTACCGAGAGAGTCGTAAGTATTTGGAATTACCGGGACTGGTATCCAAAGCAACATAAACATTCGTTACACAAATACGCTGCGTCTGTTTTTGCCATGTGACATACGGCCACCAAAGAATGCAGATGTATGCAGATCGTCGAGGGATGAGAGGTGAGGATGCTGGAAAAAACCCTCCAATTTTGCCAGTAATACAGGTTACATGCTACAAAATTCACTCAAGAACGGCAGATCCATAAAGGTTAAATATTATTATTAGGAGAAGATTTGCTTAAGCAACTGCAGATGTTTTAACTGGTACGATTCCTGGGCAGCTTTCAAAATGCCACAGCATGCGGAAACATAAAAAAGGTGGTGTGCAGTAAGGCCTATACCTACTGAGTAGTGCCTTTTGTTCTGGAAATAGCCTGCCCCAAGCCTACCATCTGATTATCAGCCTGATGATCAGATGGTAAGACCTGCCTGAGACACACAACGAAATCTGAAATCTAGAGGAAATATGGTTGATTTTGTTTGGTCGCATGATGATCATGATGAAAATAACTGTAAAGTGTGATGCTCTATTATTCCATACGCAAGTTAAACTGGCCTACCGCAAGATAGCCCAGGTTGGACGTTGTCTTCATTACATTACGACTGATGTCTAGGGTTTAAAAGTCCTCCTACAATGCAAAATTTTTCTCAACATTTTCTTCCCCACATTTTTACCTGGCGAAGACACCTCAAATGTCATTCACAAGTGCCTTGAATCCAGAATTCCATAAATGCTGTGTTGAAATTACTAAATACGCCCATTGTAGGAGGACATTTATACCCTCAGACCCTGGCATGCCTGGGGCCTGGACATTAATCCAACCCGGGCTAACTGCAAGAGTGATTTTGCACAACAGTATAACTATAAATAAAGCCTAAAGGCATAGAGGAAAGGGAAAAGGGGGCCTTTCCACACTGGTCATTTTGTTTCGGTTGTCCGTAAACTGGGCGTGCCACCTCTGCCGTATGCATATGTCTGCGTTGCTGCTCATCATGTTCATGCTTCGGCACTTACCGTTCTGGAGAAACTGGAAAATTGCCTTGGTTGAGTTAACGATCGGAGACAAGAGCCACTCCGTAAGCAGCCCGATGCTATTCTGTTAACGGATGATAACATTTTAATTTTATTTAAATCTTTGCAAATGCAAAAAAATGCGAAGAAATTGGTCACAAATTTAACAGTAACCCTACACGTGCAAATCGTCGTGATACGCGTGCACGAATCCAAAAACGCAATGTGCATGAAGTGCGTGATGTAAGTTTTGCACCGAATTGCTCATGCGTTTTAACCTGTGACCCCAGTATTTCCCGAAATTTCTTCTGTTTAAGTACTGTTTTATGTGCAGTTTTGGAATATACTGGAAACAGTCGTTCATAAGTGCTGGTGCGATGTAAAGCGCTAGATGGCGCTGCTTAAAATAAGCCGGCACCACTAGTATAGACTACAGCACTCACGAGAGACATGCGTGTGTACTGTACTCTCTGTGGTCAGATCAGACGTGAATAAACCGAGATCCCTAACCCCTAACCCCTAACCCCTAACCCTGTGTGTCCAAAGATCGCCGGCACTACCGCGTAAATGCGATCTGGTGTCCGTGCTTGGGCAGATAACAATCACAGGCTGGCACGATGGCGTTTTACTGCTCCCGATCGGGACTGGTAATTAACACCGATTAGCAGTGATAATAATATTACTAATACTAGGCCTATAATATAGGCGTCACAACATTTAACTTAGTGTTAAGCGTATTGTCAGTTTTAACTATCAAAGAGGAAAAATTGGGCAGAGGGTTGGACCATTTCTTATTCCGCCATGGTCATGATGGTTGGATCCTATATCCTTCCTCCATGGTTGGACGGACAGAGATGTTTAGGGTGTAACTTAGCCCGTGTTGGACGTTGTCTTCATTTCATTATGACTGAGTATGGTCAGGGAGTCCACCTGGGCTAGGGTGTAAGTTAAAGTCAAAGCGAACTTTGAGATCATACTCAGGCTTACACTGGTTGCAGTCTCGAATTTGGAAATAGGCCTAAGTGTTTACAACTTTTGTGTGTCATCTCTGCTCTTTCCGCAACAACAGATGTTTTTTGTATTATGTAGCCATAGTAGTAGTCTTGATATCTTAATTTATGCATTTTTTAAAAATTGTTATCTACTTATTAATGCGTACACATATATTCTTTGTCATTTTATTATATGAGAAAGGCAAATAAATCTTGGTTGGGATGTGAAAAATAATGAGTCTACCAGAATACAGCCTAGGCCCTACATGTATGGAAAGATGGGACTTTAAGCCTACGTGTTCATCGGAAGCTTTTGCAACTTGAGGTCATCACAGCAACCACTTCACTCGTTTTGCACTTCACCCCTTCGCTACTTCACCTATGCGCGCCACTTTGCCCATTTACCACTTCACCCACATGCCACCTCACCCACACAGTAAATGCATGCCACAGTTTCAGATGTAAGTTGGTTTATCAGCAATTAACCAACAAATCTTTGCATCTGTTTTACAGATGTCCTGTATTTTTCTTGAAAAAGTGCTCCAAATATCAAGACCCAGACATGATAAAAGCATGTAAAATGGTTTCCGAAGTTTGGACATGGGATTTTTTTGGGTCAAAGACTCATGAAAAATGTGCAAATACCCAGATGTGTGAAGATGAATTTAATTCTGTGACCTGTAAGTTTCGGGTTGTCAAATTTGGAATGTACTTCACATTGTTACGGGATTCCCTGGCCCCCCAGTTCCGGTCATTCTATGCTTTTCTTGCTATGTGCCCTGCGGTTGCTTTTAGCTTAGCATCGGCATCACATCAAAGAAAACCTCAATATTATTGAATTAACATAACTAGTATTTTATCTTGCTGGCAGTGGCTGAACAATTTTCAGAGTGAGGGGCAGTTGTGAGACCGTCAGGCATTGGCTAGTAGTAGACCAATCCATAAGGCCCCACCTCATTATAGGACCTGCCAGCTTGGGGAGGGGAGCAGTAGGCCCACATCTCCTCCAGATTATCATAAGAAGTCTTTGCACCCCAAGTTCATTGTTTGACTGGCACCTATTCTTCACCTGTATTTCTTATGCGCCTTGTCCGTGATATCACTCCTGTACCATCCGAGTGGAACTGAATAGCTGGATAAGGATTCTAAAAGACTCAAGTTATTCTCACTTGATGTACATGTATGTTTTTTTCTTCCATTTCAAGGTCTCAACTTTGAGAGGAGCTTTCTCTCTGGCGCAGAGGGGATGTGCCCACCAAAGACTTCCAGCTGTCCTTGCAACATCAAAGGAACAACAAATTTCAAGTTATGCGTCCAGAACTTACAGACCGCAGGCTCGCCTGTTGAGCACAAGTAAGAGCAAGTGCTATCGTGCCAAATCTTACCAAGGCAAATTTTCTGAAATCGTCACCAAAATCCCCAAAGACATAGCATAGTAGTACGCAAAGCACAAAAACAATCCACAACCTCCTAGTTTATGAACATTCTTCTTTGTGTCTTCCCTTCAGCATCCAGGTTGAATGTCGGTGTCCAGCATGCTGCGCCGAGCTTTGTGGGCACAGCAGTAGTGAACGGAGACTTCAAAACCGTCCGACTGGAAGACTACAGGGGGAAGTACCTGGTGCTCTTCTTCTACCCGCTGGATTTGTAAGAGCATTTCACGTCCCTTCTTTTGTACTCATACCCTGCAGTTGGATATATCCAGTAGGCCCAGAGGAGAACTTTAACTTACAGAACAAATCTATGTGGGGAAAAAAGTAAAAGGTGTCTCTTCAGAAAACTTTTGCTCCCTTGACTTTTAAACTTGAATTTGTTACTTTCCTTCAACTCGATGTATTATCATCACCAACCACCCTTGTCCAGTTTTAAATGCGCTAGTTTAGAAAGTGCTCCCTCATATTGCTTTTTTTCTACTGAAGCTACAGTTTTCTTTATAAGTATATTTGAGTCTTATTTTTGTGACTCGTTAGCACGTTTGTTTGCCCCACCGAGATCATTGCCTTCAGCGAGCGGGCCAGCGAGTTCCATCAACTCAACACCGAGGTAGTGGGCGTGTCGGTTGACTCCCACTTCAGTCATCTTGCTTGGATCAACACACCGAGAAAGGTGAGCCACCATAATGCCACCAGCATCCTTGCTTTAGAGTAAATCCGAGCTTGCACATTTCATACTCGTCTCTCTCGTACCATTCTGGAGAGTAATTCAGATGGAAGTTAAACATTTTTCTGATTGTAGTGAAGACGTGGACTGCACGAAGTTTTCTGTTCATGTGCTTTGATGTACAATATATTATGTTCTATTACTTGTCCAAATTCTTTTCTCGCAAGAAAATGACCCTATTAATACGGGGTGCACATGTTTGAAGTCTTTTTTGCATTGGCTCAAAAAGAACATGCCGGGTTTGTGAAATTTCTGATCTTGTTGGAGGCATTTTAGTCAAGGCCGTTACATGACCAGTTACAAGGCCCATCACAAGTTACAGTGTTAACAATGACAACGGTTTGGTTGTAATTCATTTGACTAGCTTGTGATCTGAATTCAGACTAAAGGTCTTGGTCTTAGAGAGTCCAGGCTGTAACAATGCTTGAGAAAACTTTGCAAAGATGTTATCCTGTTAAATGTCCGAGAGTGTCCAAAGTTCCCAGTGACTTCTTGCTAATTTTTGGAGACTTTTCTGATAGGGCTGAGTCAATTCGAATAATTCACTATTTGAATATTCGACCTTCAATTTGATCGAATATCTGAGTATTCGGTCCCACCGGCTGGCAGACTGTTGATGAACAAACCATACACAAAATCAGTTGCAATAGCACACATTGCATTGTACATTATGATCAATATAATAGCTTCTCTAGGAGTATCTCCAACCGTGATTTAGCAAGATTTAAGAGATGAACAAAACTTGCCCTGTTGAAAATTTCTATTCCTTTTAAATTGTTTAAAGAATAAGTTACTTCTTAAATCATTGTAAGATTTCTGACACTTTTCATTTGAATCTGCTTGAAACAAGCCTCCATAGTGCTATTTTTCCTTTCCTTTTCATGAATTTTGCATTTGAATATTCAAATTCGAAAGACAATTTTAAGATATTAAACAATCGATCAAATATTCGCTTATTCGGATATTCAGCACAGCCCTAGTTTCTTAGGCCTAGACCTTGGGCAAAACATGCCCATGGCCCAAGGGGGAGCTGGAGGGGCCAGGTTCCCCCTCTAGCGAGCAGCTGGCCCCTATCAGCTGAAATCACAAGCACTGAAATTATCTATCATTCTTGTGATATGCTGCCCCCTGTTGGTACTGTAGGCCCCTTGATGCCCAAAGCTAGAGATGTGTCTGTAAACAGAAGATTTCTCGTTTATAAATACTTTCCAATTTGTGTACTGGAAGCTGTGAGTCTGGTCACTAGGAACACAGATTAATAATGAGGAACGAATGCCTTTGTCAAAGGGTCATTTGAAGTATGTGTGCATTGATTAGATTTGCTAGGCATGTGAGAACCTATAGTGACTTAATTACATTCACATAGTTGTATTGTTAGTAGACACACAATGGGTCAAAGTTGGGCCACAGTATCACACCAACCGTACAAACTGGTTCGATATCTAAAAATGCAAGGCCGTTTGAAAACAGAAAACAGAACCCGATGTTGCACAAATCTTAAACACGCACAGCGTGTGTGAGTTGCCGTAAAGTAGTGCTGATAGGGCCCACTTCGTGCCCGTTAATGATCTTGAACACTTCAGTTTATGCATGCAATGTTGGAATGCTAAACTTGCTCATTATGCTTCTCTGTTGTCACAGGAAGGAGGGCTCGGTCCAATGAACATCCCTCTCCTGAGCGACTTCAAGAAAGAAATCTCCAAGGACTATGGCGTGCTTCTGTACGAGGAAGGAGTGGCATTGAGGTATTGACAAACACTTTGCATTGACAAATTTGTAGTTGTATTTGAAGTAGTGAAAGCAATTGCACCAGCATCGTGTCATCAACATTCAGTTAAACCCTTATGGTGTGAAGTTTTGGAATTTAGAGTGAAGTCCCTTGGCCCGATCAGTTTGTATGTGGTCACTGATATTACTCGATAGACCTCTCTCATTGGACGCCCTCTGTGTAGGAAAATTATAGCTGCATATCCAACACCGTCAGGTGTGCTTTAGTGCAGTGTGCGTATGTTCATTCACGTGTGTTGATCCAAATATCTTTGAAATACTGTGCACGCCATGAAAAGTTGAAGTCCGAACTGCAGATACATGTGGCAATCGGTAGGAAGCAAGATGTTGACACTCCTTAGGAGGGAAATTTATTCCCTGAAGTTGCAGGTTTTGAAACCTTTGGTTACCCTTTGCAACACCTGTGATTTGACCGCAGAGGGCTGTTCATCATAGACCCAGATGGCATAGTGCGCCACACCAGCGTCAACGACCTCCCCGTGGGCCGGTCAGTGGATGAGACCCTGCGGCTGGTCAAGGCCTTCCAGTTTGTGGCCAAGCACGGCGAAGTGTGCCCGGCGGGCTGGACACCAGACTCACCCACGGTGAGCGAATTGGGATCTCTTGATTCGCACGTGCACAGAGGTCAAAGGTCGTAATTAAATGCCGCCACCATTAACTGCATTAGGAAGTTGTGAGATTTGCTGTTAAGGAGAGACCAGAAAAAAAAAATTTCCTGCAAATTTTTCATCTGCCAGAATTTGTCAAAAGATGGGAAGGTGGAGCTTGCCAGAATTAGGGGTTGCTAAGCCTAGAAATGTGCTAAGCAAAAAAATATTTGCTGAGCAACAACAGTGTACTTGCCAAAACTTGTGGTACATGTGTGTGTTGTGACTGGTGCTCTTCCAATTATTTTTGCTAAGACCATAAATTTGCTAAGTTAGATTTGCTGCCAAGTAGTTCAATGAATTTGGGTCCATACAAAGCACAGGGACTTTGAATTCTTAAAAAAAACAGACACTTAAAGTTTTCAGTAAATCTCACTCTTGCATTCACACCAGCAAACCAAGTCCCTCAAGCGTTCCCTGATTCCTGGCCTCTGAAAAAGAGTCCACATAGCCCATTGCTCTTCAGGCCAGTTAAATTTAATTGTTTTTTTCCCAGATCAAGCCCGACCCCCATGGATCCAAGACATATTTCGAGGAGGTCAACAAGTAACCGTGACGACCGTCTGGAGCTCTGACATCTTTTGTGATCCCATAGCCAGCCAAACCATTGATCTATCAGCTGTGAGAAGAAATTTGAACTTTACTATAAGTAGGGCAGATTTTCTGAAACAGTAGTTTGAGTTTTGTGATTTCTGCTGCATGCTTCATTATACCCAATTTTGTTCCAGATTATTGTTTTCAAAGGCATTTGTTGAAAATTGGCAAAGAGACCCCTGGTTAATAAAGCACATTTACATGTACATGTAGTCTCATGGCTCTTCCTAGCATTATCTGGCGTGTCTTAGACTGTGTAACACTGACACAGGTAGTGTCTGAATTACTTGGCTGTGGCTTGACATAAGATATGCACTTATAAAAGCCACTAGCTTGTGGCGATGGCTTTTCCCCATAGACTTTTGTTTTATCACTGGCCTTTGCCTAGTCATTCTGACAGGGCCACACTTTTGTATTCAACTGCCGGGACATTCCGTGTTGAATGGATTGATGCTCAAGATTTGTGGTGTCTGTGGTACAAAAGGGCCCATCTGGCATTAGCTGGGGGAGGGAGGTCTTTGAAAATGTGGGCTTCTACATTCACCCTTGCTTAAGAGTTCATTTCAATACGAGTCAATATTTTGCTGTTGGCGTACCAATCTGTATAATAGGAAGCCAGAGATGGGAGTGTTGCAACTTGGTTTGAACATGAAAGGTGTGTATATGATTTTTCTGTCGGAGATGAAGTTGACAACAGAGACAAAGTCGAGGATTGTAAAAACTCTTTGTGATTGTATGTTGGTGTGTTGCAGCTCAGTTTGAGTCTAAAGCTTATTAATTGCAGTTTAAAAGCATTACATCAAGTTGGTTCAATTGAAAAGGATCGCTCAATTTTGAGGTAAGATCAAGTACTTGCAACGTTTTGTGCCCGGGGTTGAAACCACATAAAAATCATGACGAGTTCGCATTGTATTTCAGTGATCAGTTTTAATTTCTATAATGCCATTCTGTTGGAATATCAGTCACACCTGCCAATGTGCACATTTGTCAAAGCAGTAAAAAGTAATGGAACAGATGAAAAAGCTTTTTGCCCGTTCATTCAGTTAGTTTTTAGTGCCAACTGCAACTGCTCTTTTTTGTTGACAGCATTTTTGCGCGAGTCAGTTTTGATTGCACGTGGTCGTTTTACAAAAGATGGCAAATTGGCAGGACTTAATAGACTGCGTACAAATATGACCAGTGATCTGTGTTTGTTTTTTCTTTATTTGTAAAAAAAAAGAGAGACAAACAAATCCTGGATAAATGACAAAAGTTTCAACTAGTAGGACCAGTGCAGATGTCATTGTTTAGGTATTTTCTTGACATCCTGGACTTGATGTAGTGATGGATGATTAGGGCTTGGCACCAGTGTAGTGGTGCAACACACTAATAGTCTTTAAGATCGTATGTAATCATTGGCTGTTGTTTTATTGCTGAATATTCATCTATGCAAATTATGCCACAAAACAAAAGCCATCATTCATAGTTTAATCACATACCAGCTTCCCCCTTTCCATGGGCACCGTATTTCGGTCACAAGATCAGTTTTTTAGGTATTCACTTTATCTTCCCAACCCAATCTGTTCCATTGCCATTTCGACTGTCACACCACTGACCATTTACTCTACAAACCACTCACCAGAGTCCAAAGTTCCTGACATCCCCATCCTGCGCTCCTGCATATAAATGCTTTCTGCCCCTCACTTTGTGCAATGAAGCAGTTTTATCCCTTATCTTGTTCAACAAACAGCCCAGTGGCATACCTTTGCCTGTACAGTATTTAGACAGTCAATAGTGTGATATTTGGTTTGTGCACAGTCATTGCATGATTTGGGGTCTTCTAGGAACAGTTTTCAGACATAAAAACCACGGCGTGCCTTATTGTGATTCCAGCATACAGGTTTTGCGATTTTTTTAAATTAAACTTTTGGCAGCACAAGTGTAGTAATTTAGTAGTGTAATGCAGTTTTCAAACTTGTCAGGATTGTACCGACTTGGAAATGAACGTTAAATAAGACGGTGCAGGCATGGCAAACTTGCTGAAGATATACTTTTATGAACAATCATGCTAACAAGAAATCTCACAAAGCCTCGGAAACCTTGAAGGGTTAACTTTCATCAGCCTGGGTGCCATAACATCCAAAAATCAATAAAATGATGAGACAAATACACACAGAACATGGATCTTCTTAACATTCAATTTGATAACTGACCACCATAACTATCCAGTCACTCATTATCCTAACCTCAGACTCTGGCAGAGTAGAAACCTTATTTTTAAACGGAGTTGATATTAGATAATAAAACCAAACAAAATGAACAAACTTTCACTGTTCATTTTGTGTTAATTATACCCTAATGGCACGGTAGAAATCATTCAAAAGTAATAGATATTAAAATAAGGTAATATTCACTAATTGTAACACATAGTTCCAACTAAATTCTATGGTCTACATTTTCCACCTGAGACAAACAAAATCTGCAATAAAACATCCTTTCTCAAAGCCAATTTTGTAATAAAAAAAGTTCTTCAGAATACTCCAGTTACATCCACAAATATCAAAGAAAATCAATGATGGTCAAGCAAGAATTTGGTTCAAGTATGGACACAACTTTCTGTGAATTAAATACTATATGAGGTGTACGACAAAACATGTTCACCTGTGTGCTATTTCACTTTCGTGAAGCAAGTTCACTGTTAGAATGCAAATAACCCTGAGAGATAACCCTGACAGATGAATGCCTCAATAGTTAATGCACATTTGTCGACAATCTGACAATCAGTACAAATTGAGGCCATACTGCAAGGAAAACTGGGAATAAAAGGCAAATTTCTGGATGAGGAATGAAATTAAAAGACATTTTGAAAGTAATTCCTCACTCGGTCCAAAGACAAAACAAAACAAACCAAAAAGTGCCTACAGATGTAAGTAATACTGCTAATGAATTCAGTTGCTAAACAAAAATTCATTCTCGTAGATTTTCCAACAATCAACTTTAGTTTAGGGATTGCTGAACAAATGATTAATGCAACGTTTATGTTCATATATTTGCCATGTTGATCTAAAGCTTCAAATGCTGTCGACTGACGCAGACATCTTATGAGGCCACTGGGAATGGATGATAGCGATGCTTGATCCTGTGAAAAAAAAATTGCAAAGACAAGCACTTATTCACATACAAACTGAACCGACTGATACTACAAATAGTTATCACATAAGTGCGAGTGGAACACAGAGCGTGTCTATGTTCCAGGAGTGCAAGTGTGATAATGAATTTATCTTCAAGCATTATAGGAGCTTATGTGCACAAACGTGCCAGTTTGCATTTGTGAGTTTTGTTTTTAGAGTAAAAATAGCGCATTGCATGGAGTTAGAACAGCGCGTTACGCAGGGTTTGACATGGAAAATGCAACACAGTTATATGTCACACTGTTTGTTGCCATGGATTGACCAATCAGTATTGAGAATTCAAGTTTGCCTGAAGATAAACGTAAGTACCATGGCAGCTATACGGCCGTGATTATTAACTCCTCCCACAACAACTCCAATTGAAAAACTGTACTCTTGCATAATGCACGAATTGGTGAGATGTGTCTGTGAACAACTTGAAGCTGTTCTAAATCTAAAAAAAGAAGCAGCAGGCTCTTACAAGTCCTATGAAATCTATCCAATTTCAACATTTTTTGTTTGTATTTCTGAACAATTGAAAGTTCAGTCAGAAAATCACAAGTAGGAAGCTTGTTGGGAACTGACCATTCCAGGGCACAGCCTCGGTAGTTTCTATTGAGGGCCATCAGGTCCTTCATATCGGCCGGGCTCAGCTCAAAATCTAGGGTCTGTGGAGAAACAAGAACAAGCCAGGAACTGTTATTGCATTCTAATGGCAATCAACAGTGCACCTTGTAAATCAATAAACTGCAATCAATGCACTCTCCCTTGAGTTGAGGACAGCATTGTGCACTCTTTTTCACATAAGGCACTCTCCTTGTCATTCATTCTTTCCTCAAAGTCCAGCAAGCGTCCAAAACCTCAAGTTTCTGGTCCTCTGGAAAACATTTATATTTCATACAATAATGTTCAAATGGGGTTATACAATAAAGACATTAATCATCCTGGTTAAGCCAAAGGCCCATAAGGGTGCCTTTGGCAGTGGCTAAATAACCCACATTTGACTACAGAGCGCGGCCAGAGGTTTTAAGAATTGATTGGTGAGAGGTGGGTACTTTACCCACTAGCCACCCGTGCACCGCAAAATTGAACCGTTAGAAAGCAGGTGTGATCACCTCAAGGTTCTGCTTGATTCTGGACGGCGTCACACTCTTGGGGATGCAGATGATGCCTCGCTGGAGAGAGAAGCGAATCAGGACCTGAGCGGGGGTCTTGCCCCTAGCCTCGGCAATGCGCACCACCTCCGGGTCAGCCATGAGATTAGGATCTGTCTCCTTCACCCTGCATACGAGAATTATTCAATAAAACATCGTCCTTAAAAAGACATATCCAACTTTGCGATTGTCAGGTGGGGGGCTCTTGATGAAAAAGTCTCTTCCAGAACCCACTGACTCTATAAACCACATCAGTCCCGCTACTGGCTGAATGGCAACACATTTGAATTAGTAAACATAGACTTATGGGTTCAAATCACTGAGTTCAAGTGAACTTAACAATTTTTCTTGTTCACGCAAGTTCTTGAACACTGCTGATTATAAAGATGTTATACAACTACACTGGCGAAGGACAAGAAAAAAACATTACAGTTTTCATCTCCACGAAACCATTGTCTAGTATAAGCTACAGCCCACTTTTTCAGCTTTCAAAGTTCATACGGTACCGTGAAGACGTTCCAAATGGATGATCGATTTCTCAATAGGCACTCTAGTTGGAATACCATGGTTAAAATTATGCTCATAGGATAGTAGAAGAAGGAAGGTGACATGATGTTTCTTCAGCACATTGTCCTCTGACTGTGTACGAGTGATGTCTCAAAGCATACACTGATATCTTACCAGGGACGATCCGGCGAGCCCAGGGGGCTGTAAGCCGTGACTGAGATATTGTTGTCCAGGCAGTAGCGGACAAGCTCCTCCTGGACCAGGTAAGGATGAAGCTCGATCTGTGCGCACACAGGAGGGAGGTGGGGAAGATTACACTCCTTCATGTGACATCCATCCTAGCAAAAATCTTGCTGAGCTTGAGAGATATTCTCAAGCTTCTGAAATCTTAAAAAATGCCATCTTGAGCAGATGTACAACTGTGATTAAAGATGTCTGACATCCTTGGCAAACTTATCTCATCCCTCGAGATATTTGACGGGTTGGGGTGTTTGACAAAAAAAAAGAAAGTTTGCTGGCTAAAGATTTTCACAAGCTACCTTTGACCGACAACCAAGGAACAAGCTCTGCTGGGTCTCATTTCTAGTTGGTTCTACCATCACCAGCCAACGTGCCTCATGCAATATTGCATGAACACTGTCTGCCATTTTCTTGTGAGACCGGTAAGAATACAGGAACGTAAAATTCTAGTCAAATATCAGCATGAAAGCTGCAACCTAATTTCCATATCGTACTGCCATTCTTGTCAGCACTTTAGTCATGACATGAGCTTTTCAAATTGATATAAACAAATACAATATTAATACAATATCCTACAGCATTTACATTTATCTGTGACTTCCTATCTCCCAGTCTTACATTCAAGTATTCATTGTGCTACTGAATGTTTACAATGCTGACCTGGTTGTTGGCTATCGGGACCTTCTTGATGGCCTGGACGTCCTTGATCATTTGCAGGTTGAAGTTGGACACGCCGATGGCCTTGCACTTCCCTTTGGCCACCAGTTGCTCCATGGCCTTGGGATGGGACAAAGAAAAAGAAAACTTAACAAAAAATCTTTGTTATTGAACTTGGTACCAAACTGTCAGGTGAATTTGCATACATTCTTGTATGGTCAAGTATTTTCAACAATTTTCAATCAAATATCCATCTTAAAGAGTTATTATAATCTTGTTTCACAAGCAGAACTTCCAGTGGTAAGATTACTTCAGAATTTGGGTTGAGAAAAAAATGAAGAGAAAAAAAGACCATACAGAAAGATGCTGTCAGAATGCTCTGACCTATGGTATGTAGACCGATTTGAATTAGAAAACTTCAGCAGCACTCTCAGTCCAAGTGTGCGACACAGTCATGCATTGGTGGTCACAGTGCCAACTTAAACAACAATAAGATTTGACGTAACTCTTCTACATCTGAGGGACTGGAGGACATGGAAGGAAACTTACCACCCACGTGTCTGTGTACTCTGTGTCATCTATCATCGTTACTCCATTTTCATCCTTCGGAAAGTTTTCTTTTCCCCTCTGAGAAAAAAACCAATACAACCCTTTCTCTAATATGCCCTTTTCTTACATCAATATATAGTTCAGTCTGAAGTACCGCCATGAAATATAGCTATTTGGTCCGTGGCTGGGAACCCATATCTTGGCTTTGATATTCTGTGCTTACAGCAGAGAAATGCAGCACTACAAAGAAAGCACAGACTGCTAAACAGTTACCATACTGGGTCAAATTTCATTGAGCTGCTGAGCACATGAAAGATTTGAACAGCGAGAACAGGTTTTCAACCAAAATGCCCTGCAAGGTCGATTGCCTGTGACTCTAATTGACTGGAGCTCGTACCTGACTCAAATCTAGTCCACAATATGACTCAACTCGACTTCTTGACCCAATGACTCGACTCGAATCACAATGTTCAAATGACTTGACTCGAGTCACCAATTTAGTGACTTGTTACAACACTGGGTGAAAACTGTTCCTTTGTGATAAGCCATGAAATTGGGTGAAGCACGTTTGGACTACTTTTAGCCTATTTACAGTACAACGGAAACACTGTCAACCACGGTAATAGTAGATGTACCTTGAAAGCCATTGGCCAGTGCATCAGATAGAGATCCAGGTATGCAACTCCGAGACTGTCCAGAGATTCTTGGCAAGCTTCCTCTACATCATCCGGATGGTGCCTCGTGTTCCACAGCTAAGGAAGCAAATGGAGAAAAAAGAACTTCGGCTGGCAACTAACCGACAGTTAAGTGATTTGACAACCAAAAACTAAAGCATTGCTTGGGAAGTTGTGAGGACAATTCAAAAAGTTGTCATTCACTGTCAAATTCAAGTAGCAAATAAGAATCTATTCTAAAGCTTTTGCCAGTCTTCACGGGAACTCTGTGTACGTTTATCTATTAACTATGTATAAATTTTCCTTACATCTAGGCTTGCACCTTTGAAAGGCTCCCACAGACGGTGTGCATTACAAAATTTTCATTATCATTAGCAAAATTATAATTATGACGACCTCACAAATTTGTGCACACGAACAGCATATTTGAACCTGTCTTGACATTTTTGCTCTGTCTGTGGCAAAGATCGTATAGCCCTGAAGGCACAAGATGGATAACTCTGCCTAAAAGGTGTGATTACCATGGGCGCCATCTGAGCAAGCGATACACCTGCGCAGTTTATGGTAATGCTTGGGCGCAGGCTCACCAGGTGCACGTGCCTGCCGCGGCACCTGTGCATTAATGTGCATTGCACAGGCGCATCGCTTGATCAAATGGTGCCCATCCGATTACAACATTTTATGCGTATTCAGGGTAAAGTTCGCCATCTTGCGCCACTACGCGGTGCTATATGATCTTTGGTCTGTGGCTACCATGTAATGCATTGCCATATCTAACAACTCACAAAGATTTACCTTGCTTGTGATAAATACATCCTCTCGTTTCACTGTGCCATCATCAATCTTGGCTTTCAAACCAGCACCAACTTCGGCCTCATTTGCATATACATAGGCACAGTCCAGATGGCGGTAGCCCACCTCTAATGCAACCTTGACGGCCTCTGTTACCTGTCCCGGCTGGGACTGCAGTAAAAAGACAACACGGAAACGATTTTTTAAAGTGATGCCATCAACAAATTCTCACAAATGGAGCTCAGGACTGCAACAGTCCTGCAAAATATACCTCGTGATGGGGAAAATTAGATTGAGAAAGCTGAGTTTGTGTCACAAGTAATTTACCTCAGTGGCTAGATTCAAAAACAGATAGGGTTACAACAGGAACCACGAAGGCACAGGGAGGTGCCTTAGTTTTTATCATCCAGAACATGCAAAAGTACATGTATTGAAGTCAATGGTACTCCAGGCTCACAGCATGATTCGAAGGAGGGGCCACAACCCTCTATGTTTCACTATAAATGTACATATACTTTGAATGGACATGGATACGCCCCTTCACCATGTCCACCCGATAAGGACCACACAGTGGAACCATTTCATTACACGCTCATGACGTTACAATTATCTGACATGGGGCCGGGGAGTAATATAGTACACTATTGCAGCGCACCCCGACTCCACTCCAGCAGTCGATGGGAAGTCAAGAAAAAGTTACATTTTCTGGAACAAAACTGGAATTTAGTTTGTACATTTTCACGTTTTTGTCTTCATTAACTTCATTTCATGTCATTACCTTCCAAGTGCCCAATCCCACTATGGGCATCTTGGCTCCGTTGGGCAACTCGATATACCTCTGAAAGGCCATAGCCACAAATCCAGAAACACTTGAGGAGAAGAATACTCGTCGAACTCCTCGCAATATCCAAAATCGTAGGAAGCTTACCTACGTACGCCGCGGTATACCATAGAGCTCTATGGGTATATCATGCCACAGCATGCGCCTGAACTGACCGCACCGCCGGACCGTCAGTTACGCAAGCTTTGCCTGAACAGCATGGTACCGTAGCCTTTATTTCGTAACCTTATATCTTTTGAATAATCGTAGACAAGTTACCACGCGGTACAACAATATAGCCCAACGGCTATTTTCTGTATTTTATCGTAGCACGTGGACAACTGAAACTCCTTCAGTGTAGGATCATAAGATGAAATTCAACTGGCGTTGCGTGCATGTTTCCTCCATTAGTTTGAAGGAAAGTACAGAGAAGATTGCAAAGACTTTTTTTTCATAAAAAAGTCACGGTGATTCTTTGAAACCCGGCTCCCAAATAGGAGCTCTTTTACGTACAAACATACTTCCTCGTGGTACAGCTGTATCATCATGGTTTCCTCCATAGGTGTATACAGGAGACAACTGTACGCACTGCATTATGTGTTCCACTCACGCTCGTATAAGTAATAATCATACGTATTCTTTGACTTAAAAAAATAGTTGCATATTAATATCGCTGTATACTTAATTTCTGTAGGACTCAATTATACGTATGCGAAGCTACATACAGTAGGCCGCACAACGGTAGCAGTCATCACAGGATAACCAAGAAAGCTCCAATCAAGGAACAAGTCAAAACATCTCGACTGAGGCGCAGAAAGTACAACGGCGTCAGAACATCCTCTCACATTACCACTCCAGCCGAGAGCATGCATATGCCACCTCATCAAAGTTCAGACTGAGCTACTCGGTACATGGATGACCCAGCTTTGTCTTTGCTTTTCAAATAGCTCCTCAAAGCGTGTTAAAGTTTGAGGTTGGAGATGGTGTTATACAGACAAAATAAATTGTCTCTTTACCTTCAAGGCATAAGAGCTTACACATTTTCCAGTCGATTGTTGCCCTGCCCTATGAAACATATTTCATCACTTCGCGAAATGGCTCCCGAAATGTTGAAATTCAACCTGAATTTTAAGATAGGAGTCTTGAATATTATTGAAGTCACTGCAATGAAAAACCGTGACAGATTTCATGTTTTATAGGCCTAACATTTGATGAAATGAGTTTGAGTGCTGGATTATCATATGATATTTCCTCTGACAGGATTGAGGGGTCTGAGGATTTTGGAAGCCTTGGGAGCTAGGACAACACAAGTTGCTAACCATGCCGCTGTTTTCATAGTGAGAGGTGTGTTCTCACACTGGAAGCAGCCTGCCCAGAGATGTTACACCTGCAGACAAGCTATCAAATCTCCCCAAGGAATGTTTGCAGAAGCTCAAAGGCATTGGGTTGATTCCAAAATTGGTTGTTTGCAATCAAGGATGCAGTAATGTGAAACTTTACAATACACTTGCAATTTCAGAGGAACTTAAGACCGTACTTCTTGCTTGATGAAGAAAAAGTCTTTTGCATGTTTGATCCACCTCATCTCCTTAAGAATACAAGATTAAAGTACCTTTTTCGATACAAAGATTTTAGAGGGGGGCCACTATAGAAACGTAAAATGGTCTTACATCCGATCATTTTATGAGTATGATTCACAAATGCTCATTCGCATGGCATCTAAACTTTCACAAGGTCATTTTGACTTGAACAGCTACTCAAAAATGAGAGTGAAGGCATACTGTTACAGCAGGCATCTACACTTCTCTTGGGCAGCTCCCTGCTGAAGCTGCCTTCATCGGGGAGTTCGCCGAGAAAATTGATAACTTGTTTGATGCATTTAACAGCAGCACCTAGGAGGTTTGGAGGAGACGTATGTCAGAAGCGCCCGTCTGTTTGTAGTTATGAGTAGCACACTTGATCCTATGGAGATAGAGAGGGTAAAAAATCTGCAGAAAAATGAAAACAATGGGAGGGAGCATCTCTCCTCCGTTGTCTCATATAATGTCATATAATTTCAATTACATGTATATGGCAGGTAAATACCTTTACATAATTATTGGATTATATTTCGCCAACTACCGAGAGATTTATATTGTAGATTTCAAAGCTGCTCATCACGGAGGAGTGCATGCCAAGACGGAAGTGCCAAAATGGCTGATGAAGCCTTTCTAAAGTAGAAGGATGAAAATGTACTGGCCAAAGACCAGTCAGCTGTCTTTAGAATCTCTTGAGTAGACACCAGAATGAGCCGCTGCTGACGTACAAGATGCACTCCAGATGGAGTGACCCTCGAAGATATGCCGTCACCAGGCCCTCTGCGAGGTTTTGTTAATTCCAGGTATTCATTCAATGCACGAAGAGGACATAGATTGCGGTGCCCAGAGAAATGATTAATTTCAACCTGATGAAAGGACTTGTCGACAGACACTCGTTTGGAAGGTTTGACAAGGGAGAATGTGATTGTACCATCTGCACAGAAAGACAAGTGCAGGATGTCCAAAATCAGTAAGGGATGAACATCTACTAGCTGTAGCTAATAGCATCTTTACCCCAAGCGTTAACATTCGTATGGGCAACGCCTGTTATCTGGCAATGAACGAAAAAGGTCAAGCACTTTCTGAACTTTCAAAGTACTCGTATATCGGGGACAAGGAGGTCAAAGATTTGGCACAACTTTGAAAAATCTCTTGACCAGGTGATGCTATCCAACAGGTGCACCATCAACAAATTCATGAACTGATGAAATCGCAGATATATAACAATTCTGTACAACAGCCCAGAATCCAGCAGCTCTTGCATAAAGGCCAGAAACTAGTTTACAGCTGCATGAATGGGATTGACACTCCTTCGATGACACGAGCAAGACCATCTGCGCCATGCCGAGTCGTAGGCCCACTGCTTACTTGAATGTTTCAGCCAGGAAGACAGAATTGTGGACACAATCACTTTAGAAAGGCCCTTTGCTGAGAAACGTTGCCTGAGAGTTTCTAGGTGGCTGACTGTAGATTCTCCCCCATTGGATGAGACGCTTCTGGATTTTGAATCAACTGAAGGAGATTGCACCCCTTGGATAACAAAACTGGGATGGCCACCAGAAAGTGATACCAAGGCCGAGTAGGCCACACTGGGGCTATGAGGACCAATGAAGCTACTTCGTTGGAGACTTTCTGACGACACTTGCCCAGTAAAGCAAACGGGAGAAAGGCGTACCCCTTGATATTGCTCCAATTGAGTTGTGCATCTACTCTCCATGCTGCTGGATCTGGCTTCCAAAACACAAAGTAGGGAGGTTGTGTATTTAGACGAGTTGCAATGAGATCTGCTGTTCGTCTCTAATCCAGCTTGACCATGACCAGTTGGAAAAACTTGGGGGAGGACGCCACTCCGCACAGTCCGGGAAATTTCGCTATAATCGATCCGCTGTGGTGTTGATGGTTTCTGGCAGGTGTTCAACTGCTGATAGTAGAATGTTCCTGTGGAGCACCAAGTCCAGAGACGAACGTCCAGAAGAGACAAGTGATGTGAGCGAGTACCCCGTGAGTAATGTACGCTACTGCTGCGACACAGTCTGACTGGATGCGAACATGCAAATTGTGACGGTCCTTGAGCAGTGACCGAAGACCGTACCAAACTGTTTAGAGTGTCAAGTAATTTATGTGATGTTGCTTCTCTGCTGGCGTCCACCGCCCCCGGCTTGTCTGTGGTTGAGGCAGGCACCCCAGCCCTGTTTGGATACATCGGACAGAATCACGACATCTGGATCTTGGAGGACTGTTCCAGGCCTGAAGATACTTCATCCACTGAGACGATTCCTCTCAAGTGCTTCAGAAGACCGAGAATCTGGCCCCACTGAATATGTCGATAAAAAATGGGAGCTGGCAGAACAGCTTGTATAGTTGCCAACATCTTTCCTACCATTCACTAGAGCTCGCGCATTGTACCGGAGTCTCCTCCTAGAATTGATCAACACTGATAAACCATGTCGTTGACCTTCTCTGAACTCAGGAAAGAGAAGAGTTTTGGGAATCCACCACAAACCCGAGGTACAGCAGACTCTGCGATTGGCACAGCTGAGACTTCGTGTTGATTACAAAGCCCAAACTTTAAAGGAGATTGACCGCTGTTGTGACGTTGATGAGATTTGAAGCTTTTCATGGTGTAGGTAGCAATTGAAGTAAACTAGATAGGTTTGCGGTAGCACCATGGATACATGTATATCTCTTTTTTGAGCATGTGGGGTTCTGAAAAGAACCAGTGGTACTCAACGTTTCGGACAGTATGCTCTGACCGTCGTCAGGAGACGTTGTTGCACATTCCTGTTTTGCTGTTACGAAGATAAGTATGTCGTCGAGGTAGAAAACTGTTCTTATTCCCCGCTCGCGGAGGCAAGCAGCTACTGGCTTCAGGATCTTTGTAAGCATGCGTGGGCCACTGGCCAGTCTAAAGAGTAGGCAAGAGAATTGGTAAATGACTCCCTGCCAATACAAACGAAGAAATCGGCGATGAGATTGACATAAGGAAACTGTAAAATAACCATCCCGCAGTTCTATAGAAGCCAGCCAGTCTTTCAGGGCTAGTAAATCTTGCACCGTACTTATGTTCTCTATCTTGAAGTGTTGCTATTATATGAAACCACTGGTCTAAATTCCTCCGATATCATAGGAATGACAGACAATGAAGCTATAAATTGATTACGAAAAGGGCAAACCTCAGTAATAGTTTATTCAGCATTTTTTGCACCTCTGCATCCAAGATGGCAGCGTGACAGGAGGGCTTAGCACGAATAATGGGAACAGACCTCTGAACCGGTTCTTCTAAGAATTCAATCTTATAACGTAGTACTGTCGAAAGAATCCATGAATCTTGAGTGATGAAGCATCATCGGTGCAGAAAATGCTGAAGTCGGCCTTGCTACAGTTAAAATTACATAGGGAGTTAATTGGTACAGATGGAGTTACATATGTACTACCGCAGCTACTTTTTAAAATTACCTGGATCAGGTGTTGCCCGCAGCTTTCCAAAATGGCTGGAACTCTCCCCCCCCCCCGAAAAACGTGGGTAGAAACTTCGATGACTTGAATGATGAACAGCGTAGTCTCGATGCTCGCGAGATACGGCGTGAACCGCTTGCCTCTGGATGAAGCCGTACCCTTGCTGCCCGTAACATTTGCGG